GAGCTGCCCAGACCAGGCACAGAAACCATAGTGACGCCAACCCGGTGGTCTCAGACCGCTGTGAGTACCATGGAGAGCTACCCCTGCCCAGCCCTCACCACCAGCTCCACTCGAGCCAGCCCAGCTCTGTGGCGAGTCCACCAGCCATTCCTGAGGCTGCGATTCATTCTGAAACTAAAGTGTCCCCTCCCTCCAAGTGCCATTCTAAGTTCACCTACTCATGACACCTCACCCTATGTATCACAGTGGATCTCTTTTTTCAATGGTTGTACTGCAGAAGATAGATGGCCAGGCCTTTCTTCTGAGGCACCTCTGAATGAATCTGAACCACCAAACCTTCTGGTTAGCAGTTGGGTACTTAAGTGCTTATAACATCCTGGGGGGTCCATTGGGCCCGCAAAGTGGGTTACGTGTTGGGCTGCTAACCACAAGGTCAGCCATTCAAAACCACCAGTTGCTCTGCTGGATAAAAGTGAGGCTGTCTGCTCCCATTAAGATTTAGTCAAAATAACCCACCGGGGCAGTTCTACTCTGTCCTACAGGGTGACTATGAGTCCGAATCAGCTTGATGGCAGTGGGCTTTGGGGGGTGAACAGTGCTGAGGCTGAAAACCCTGGCCAGATGGTCACCAAATAAAAGGCAAACAAGCTGGGAGGGCTACTAGCCCTGCCACCTCTGGTTTCCATGGCACCTCTCCCAGCACCCACCGCCTGCAGCAGCTCCTCACCCTTTGCTCTGCTGGCCACCTGAGCACCCACCGTTGTTGCTGCTGGGGCCGCCCAGGCTTGCCAACCACAGTGAGCCCAGGTGCTTCAGAGGAGAGCTGTCCCATAAGGTTCTCTTGGCTGTTATCCCGATGGGAACTGATTGCCAGGCCTTTCTCCCGCATGAGTGGATTCTGTCAACCTTCCTTTTAGCAGCCAAGCTAACCACTTATGCCACCCGGCTCTGCTACCCTGGCAGCTAAAAATAGCTTCTGTGTATTGAGTATGCCACTTGGAGCGGCTGCGGCAGAAGCTGAGGAACGCGTATGCATTAACTCTTCAAAGGCTCCCAGCCACAAGAGGAATGACAAGGAAACTGAGTATCAAGGGTCTGAGTGATCCACCCAAACCCATACGCAGTGCCCAAACCCACACCCAGCTCTCTGAGCAGAGCTTGTGCCTGCACCACCACTTTATATTTTATACTAGGCGGTTTCCTTGGGGGACATCTGGCTGTCTTCTTAAGTCGGGGAGAAGTGCTCCCTGGTCATATTGTAGAGGGCTATCAGGGCGGGCCCTCACACCGCAGGCTGCCCCAGCCCAGCGAGTGAGCCTGTTCTCTATCTGCCACTAAGCTAGTCAGTGGTGGTCCAGAAGGGTAGAGCAGCCTCCTGTCAGGCACCTCGTGCTCAGCCTTTGCTACTGTCAACAGAGGCCGACAGCTACTTCGTGGCAGGATCAAGCCGGAATTAGGAGGGCAAAGGAGTCTGACGTGTGGCAACAGAAAGACGCTGAGCTAACGAGGCCAGCCTTAGTATCTCTTTCCCAGTCAGTCCACTGGCCATGATAAACCAGAGATGACAGAGGAGGGCTGGAAGCACGTGGTCACCATCCTTGAGTGAGGGCCACCAGGATGCTGGTGAAGAGCGCTTCCCTGCTCACGAGCACACCCCCTCCCCAACTCATTGAAGGGCACGTCCTGGTGGGGCAGCTGCTAAAGAAAGCGCTCAGCTGCCAATCAAAGGGTTGGTGGTTCGACCCCACCAGCTGCTCCGTGGTAGTGTGATGAGGCTGTCTGCTTCAGGAAAACATACAGCCTTGAAGCCTGGAGAGAGCCGTTCAACTCTGCTCTATGAGGCCACTTTGAGTCGGTATCGATTGAATCAATGGCAGTGGGTTGCTTTTGCTTTGATGGTGCAATGGTTAAGCACATGGCTGACTGCGCAGTCAGCGATTGAACCCATCGAACACTGCTCAGGAGAACAGATCTGACACTCTGCCCCCTGATCGCCCCCAGCCTAGGAAACCCTGTGGTGCTGTGGGAGCTTCGGAAAGTAGAATCACCTTTTCACTGCATTTCCCCCTGAGCTTTCTTTTCTGATGCCCCTCGTTGGGTCCATTTGACAGCTACTCACAGCCTGGTGCTGAAAGCCCTGCGGTGCCCAGTATGCCTCAGTACAGACTGCCCAACAGCAGTGGAGCACTGGGAATGGCCCTCAGGTCATGCTTGTCATGCTTGCTTCCCACTTCCCCGCTCAGTGGTGACTCGACGGACAGCAGACAGCTGCCATTCCTGGTGTACACTACACACCTATTCCTGTGACGACGCAGCAATCCACAATCTCCCCTCTGTGCTCACAGGGTTCCGTTCCAATGAGGGCCCCCTCTTGGGTGGGCTCGTCCACTTACTTATTACTTCAAATTCACCCAACAAACGATGCGTGCGAGCGCCTACTCAAGTGCCAAGCACTCGTCCAGCTGCAAGGGCTCCCTCAAGGATCTTGACAGATTCCCAAAATAAAAACCCCTGGGCTCACAGGCTCATCATCCAGTCCAGGAGCACTCAGACCAGGAAGACACAGCACATCAGAGGGCAACAAGAGCTGTGGGGTAAAAATCCACCAGGGGAGCAGGGCCGGAGGGGGGGGCGGTGGGGGCACACACATGGGTGCACCTTCAAATGGACAGAGAAATTCCTCAACCACCCTGGACCGTAGGAGGTAGGAAAGCCAGCAGGGGGCATATCTGGGCGTGAGTGGTTTGAGGCAAAGGAAGCAAGGACCTTACGGGAGTGGGGGGAATGGGGAGGGGCGGGGCGAGGGGGCCCCTCTAGTCGGGCTTCTGGACTGAGAAGTTGCGGGATAGATTGTGGTGGGAAGACTGGAGACACAGCAGCAGCAGTGGTGGTAGCAGGAAATGTTTCAGATCCAAACCCAACCCGCTGCCATCAAATCGAATCCCACCCATAGAGACCTTCTAGGACATACTAGAACTGCTCCCTAGGGTTCCCAAGGCTGTCAGTCTCCACAGAAGCAGGCAGCCTTGCCTTTCTCCCTCAGGCTGGTGGCTTCAAACTGCCCAGCTTGGGGTTAGCAGCCCAACTTGTCACCAAGTATGCTGGACACGTAAGGGGGTGACTGAAGGAATGAATCTGTCATCCACAGATGGGATGGAAGCAGGTTTTTGAGAGGAAAGTCAGTATTTTGTTTGGGACATGCTCTTCAGTATAGCCTATTGGACATCCAGCTAGATGTCAAATTGGCTGTTGGGTAGGAGTCTTGAGTTCAGGAAACTATCTGGGTCTAGACTATAATGAGGCCTTGGTGGAAATGTTAGATAAGCACTGGACTAACTGAAGGGTCAGTGGTTCAAACTCATCAGCTGCTTCATGGGAGAAAGAGGCTCTCTGCGCCCATAAACATTTACAGAAGCTCTATAATAGGTTGCTATGGGTTGGAAATGAGCCAATAGCAGGGGGGTTTAAGTCACACTGGTTTTCTTTTACCCAATCGTCCTTCTGCCTCTAACTGGGTCTTGTTGTTTGGGAAGGGAGTGCACTGGTGGCACAGCGAACTACGCCCTGAGCTGCTAACCACAATGTTAGCAGTTTGAACCCACCAGCCCCTCAGAAGGACCTAGATGAGGCTGTAAAGATCTGCAGTCTCGGAAAGCCCAAGGGGCAGCTTAGAGGGTCGCTGTGACAATGTGGTCCCTGGCAGTGAGCGTGATTTGGCTTTTGTTCTGTGGTGCAGATGACTTGCCCTGGAGGGTTTTCTTGGTTGCCATCTCTCCAGAAGCAGGTTGGCGGGCCTTTCTCCCTCCAAGAGAGCTGCTGGACGGTCTCCAACTGCCGACTTTTCCACTGGTAGCCCAGCACTTGACCAGGGCACCACCACAGCACCTAACTGTATCGTACTTTGTTGGAAGGCCCAGTTCAGAGGTTCCACATCCGATGGTCAAGCAGGGGGTGGGAGGCGCTCTGGAACCAGACAGCCCCACCCCCGCTGTGCGGAATCCTGCTTCTTACCGGCTCGTGTGGCCCACAGACCCACCCTCACTCAGTTTCCACGCCCAGAGGATGGGGGTGATCATGGGACTGTGGTGAGGCTCTGGGCATTACCATGGAAGGCAAACCCACCCGGGTATGCCCCAGGGGTACCACCATCGTGAGCATTTGGTCTGACACCCTCCAAGAGCAGGGACCGTCGCAGGCGGCGGGTCGGAGTCGGACAGGTGGCTGTCCGCTTGACTTGCGCTCCCCGCAGACAAACTCCCCGCACTGCCCCGCTATCAACGCCTCTGGGGACCTGGGGCGACAGCGGCGGGACTGGCTGCTGCTCTGGGGACCAGGGCATCCCCAGCCTCTCTCGGAAACGCAGCACAGGGAAGAGACTAAATGAAAAAGGTCCTGCGGCGGGGGCGGGCGGGCAGTTAAATGATGGAGGCATGGGGCTCGGCTCTCTGGTCGCCTCGAAGGATCTAGGGGAGCTGGCGGGAAGTGGGGGGACGTTGGGAGCGGGGGAGTGGGGAACCCGTCGGGCTTCTTCCGACCGCGGCGCGGGGTCTGGGCTCACTAGCTTTGGGGAGGGGTCGGCTCGGGGTGGGGGAAGCCGGGGTCGCCGAGGGCCAGGGGGCGGCGGAGGGCGCGGGGCGCGCTCGGGCCCACAAGCAGGCCGGTCTATTTACATCCGAGGCCGGGGCGCTGAGGCTCCACCTCCCGCCCCCTTCGGCTCCGGGCTGGGTCTGCCGGACGGCAGGGCCTCACGCCCGCGGCCCCAGCGGCCTCCGCTGGCCGGACGGTGGCGGGGGCCGCGGTAGCCGGGGATGATGGGCCGGGCCGGGGAGCCCAGCCTGAGGGGACGCAATGGGGGGCGGTTGCGGGGCCCGCTGGGCCTCTGGCCCAGAGCCGATAAGAGCTCCTCACGTCAGGGTGCTCATCTCTCGGGCCTGCAGCCCCTGGGCCTCCCCACGCCCGTCCCCTGCCCACCAGCTGGCCCCCGACGGCGCCTCCCCTACCTTCGTTCGCCAGGTCCGCCATTTTACTTCCTTGAGCCCTCCCACAAGGCCCCGCGCCGGCCCGGGCTCGCCAGCTTTCTGCCGGAAACTCCCGCGCGTGCGCACTTTCAAGCCGACTCGGTACGCAGCGCGCCTGCGTGCAGAGCCCGTCGCGGAGACGCGCTCCAGCTCGCGCTCCCCGCCCGGCCGCGCGCCAAGCACGCGCCTGCGCACTAACCGCCGCCGCTGCCACCGCCTCCTTTTCCCGCCGACCGAGGGGGCGTGGACCGGGTAGAGCGCGTGCGCGGCGGCCCTCCCGCGCGTCCCTGCCGCGACCCGAGCGAATGCCGTTTTGGGAGGAATCTGCGGGAGCTGGGTTCCGACGGTTCGACTCCTACCGCCACCCAGGAAGTCCTCCTCCAGGAAAGTCCTTGGGCCGGCGGGGCTTTCTCTGCCCTGGTAGTCGGGAAAGGGGACATTCCGCGACGCTTTCCCGAGCCCACGCGGGCAGGCGGCAAGATGGCAGAGGGGAACTCCGAGTTAAAGAGCACCAGCCGCAGGGGTCAAATGCTGGTGTAGGGACATGGCGACAGGGACTTGCCTTCTCAGAACACGAGCACGGGAGCGCCACTGCAACCCAGATCCCAACACCTCCCCACGAGTGCTTTCATCTGTATAATGGGGTCTTTCTGAGTCCCTGACACCTTGGACTTCTAATCACAAGGTCAGTGGTTCGAAACCGCCAGCCGCTCTGCGCGATAAAGATGAGGCTTTCTACTCCCGTAAAGTGTTCCGGTCTTGGAAACTGGCAGGGCAGTTCTACCCTGCCCTATAGGGTCATGTGAGTCGGCATCGGCTCGCTGGCAGTGAGTTTGGTTTGGTTTGGGTGACCACACACACTGCCATCGAGGAGATGCCGACAAGCTGATAGGACAGGGTAAAACTGCCCCTGTGAGTTCCTGAGACTCTGTTCACTGAGTAGAAAGCCCTGTCTTCTATGGAGGCTGGTGGTTTTGAACTGCAAACCCAAATAAGAACAGTTTACTCTGACAATAAAACTTCAAATCTTGAAGTGTCTGGCTGCACATAATTCTTTGAAAGAACTCACAGCTAGTTACTACGCGATTATTTGACTTTTCTTTTTAACTTTTAAGAAATCCAGTTTCTCAAAACTTCAAGTTCCAAAGATCTAATAAGAATAATGACTTGGGGTGGGGGTGGGGCTCTCCAACTCCCACTAAAACCCACCACCACTGACCCTCTAGAGGGGTTCCCAGACAAATGCTTGTAGAAGCAGACACTCCTCTTTCTCCTGCAGAGTTGAACATGGATTTGAACTGCCGGCCTTGTGGTTTGCAGCCCAATGCTAACCCACTATGCCACCTGCTCTCCCCCCTGCCCCCCAAACCTAAACCCACCCCTGTGGAGTCCATTCTGACTCGTAGCGACCCCGTAGGGCAGAAGAGAAGTGGCCCCTGTGAGTTTCAGGGCAGAAAGCCTCATCTTTTGCCTTCGGACTGGCTGGTAGATTTGAACCTTGGTGTTTGCAGGCCAGCTCAGAACCCACTTTGCCACCAAGGTTCCACTGGCTCTTCCAGAGACCACATAACTCTGGATTCCAGGAGAATAGAAACTTTCCAAAACCCGAAACCAAACCAACTTGGAGACAGCTGGGAAGAACAACAAAAAGCATGTCCGCTGTGAGCATCCTCTCCTACGGGATGGTGGCTTCAGGAGCGGTGCATTTCAGATGGTGGTGGAATCGTGGACGGGCACTGAGAAGGGTAGTGGAGCTTGGAGCCTGTACCCCATGCACTGCATTGTACTTGTAGAAACCTTAAACGATCTGTCTTTGCCTCTCAACTTTCCTCAATAAAATCAAATGTCCATTCACTCAAACACCCTGGACTCCTTGCATGCTTCGACCCTCCCAGCAAATCCTGAGGTCCCCCCACCCAAACAGCCCACGTCCACCCTGGGCTTGCCACCTCAGTGACACCACCACCCTTGGCCAGACCAGCCTCATTTCACTCTAGGAGAACTGGGACGTGTGCCCTCCCCGCCCTCCTTCCTTCCATTCTTGTGGAGTTCCAAGAACTGCTATGCCCATGACAACAGACAGGGATCTCTAATAAACCAGATCAAGGGGGCCAGCTTGGTAGCTTACGGGGCCATGGTAGATCATGTGCTTGGCTGCTAACCCAAAGGTCAGTGGTTTGAACCTATCAGGAGAGAGATGGAGCAGTCTTAAAGATGTCTGACCTTGGAACCCTCTGGGGGAGTCCTACTCCGTTGTTATAGGGTCACTGTGAGTCAGAATTGGCAGGGGTGGGTCTGGGTCTTCGTTTCTTAAGGGCAGCGAAAAATCACACCGGTTGTAGGATCAATTCCAACTGGCATGAGACCCTTCATGTTGTCAAAGGCTCTGGGTGAACCTGCCCCTCTGGACTTTCCACTAGCAGCTGAGCCTGTGACCAGTCTGCCCCACCCAGGGACTCCCGTCTCTTTCACAGATGAGGAAACTTAGGCTGAGAAGCGTTTTACCAAAGTCTCTACAACTAGGTGAGAACCCTTGTGCGTGGTGGTTATAAGTTGGGCTGCTAACCGCAAGGTCAGTGGTTCAAAACCACCAGCCACTCCTCAAGAGAAAGATAGGGCTTTCTACACCTTTAAAGAGTTACGTCTTGGAAACCCACAGGGGCAGTTCTGCCTTGTCCTATGGGGTCAGGATAGACATGATGGCAGTGAATGTGGACTTCCTTCTGACCATTAACCAAGAATGTGGACAGTCTTGTCCTACAGCTGAATGCTTTCGAAAATGGGTTACCAATCCCTCTGACCAGCCCCAAAAGGAGCATTGGTCATGTAGTGTATTGGGTTGTGCATTGGGCTAAGGTTAGTAGTTTGAAACCACCAGCCTCTCCTTGAGAGACAGAGGAAGCATTCGGCTTCTGTAAAGAGGTCCTGCCTCAGAAGCCCACAGGGGCAGTCCTACCACTGATAATCAGAATTGACTCCATGGTGGTGAGTTGAGAATTCAGGAACAGGGGGTTTGCCTAGGTATGTCCTTGGTGGGTACTGGGTCGCATAGGCATGAGTCACGCCCTCACTGCCTTGGTCAGAGGACCTTAGACTGATCTTGTAAACTCTTCTTTCCAGCAGAATGTACATGTCCCAGTCATAGCCCCGTTCCCGTTTCTGTGGTCCCACCTGCCACGGTGACGTACTGATCTGATGCCAGTCATGTTTCTGGGATGCTTTCTCTTGTCCTCTTGTGTCCGATTTAAGCTTTCAATCCTCTGCAAACCCTTGGATGCCACCGTGACCTTGTGCTAACCCCTGGAGGACGTGCCTTTGTCTGGTGAAGACTTCACAGACAGGCTCT